CTGGTACTCCTTCACAGACTCGCTGACGAGATCCTCGTACAGCTTCGCAGTAGTGTCCAGGGGGCTGGCTGCGAATGCCCTCGTGTGGGGCAGAGCCTACCCTCCCCCGGCGCGAGGCCGGACCGCGCGGGAGCGGGCGTACAACCGCGGCCGAGTACAAAAACCATTCGAGAAGGGCTCAGCGCTTTGAAGAAGAATAAACTGCAAAAACATAAACTTTGGGCGCTCCGCGCGGATTGGATTGCTTGGATCTGCGCTGGACCCCCGCCCTGGCGCGCCTCGGGCGCCAGGGGCGCCCGAGGCGCCGCCGGGGGGGGCCCAGCGCGGATCCAAGTTGATCCAAGAACTCCGCGCGAAGCGCCCAAAAGCTTATGTTTTGATGTAGATGTTTCTTCTTCGAGCGCTCTTTCCTAGATCCCCTAACTTCGCGCACTGTGCCCCGCAATGCTCGACGCGCGACTCTCTTCGCGCCCCCCTCGCGCGAAGCCACCCCGAAGAAGCACGCAATTCGGCGGCCAGGCGGCCAGGGCCGCGGTGCGCGAGGCGCGAACAGCTCCACGCCCCCGCGGGTAGGTCTTCCAATGACGGCATCGTGCAGACAAAGTCAAGACACGCGCGGTGCAAAAGCCAGGGGGCGAGAGGACACCGCTGGAGGCTCCACATGAGCGACGATCAAAAACGGGTTTTACGCGAGATGACACAACGGCCTTACGCCGCAGCTTACGCGGGCCGCCAGCGCGGCACGCTACAATGGAGACGAGGGCAACTTACGCGCGACCTTACGCGGGCAACTTACGCGCGGATGCAGGCGCAATCGAACCCGTTTCGTGGCATCGCTCACATGGGTTCCGAGTAGAAGGGGTTAGGAATCGCGACGCATCGCAGATGCAAATCGGGCTCCACATCGGGCCGCAACGCCGATGCATCGACGCATGGGCGATGCGGCGCGATCGCACGACCCCATCGACTCGAACACCAATAAGGAGGAACATCCGGGGAGCAATGGACAGCAGGGCACCCCTGATTGTGCAGGGTCGACTGGCCGATCGGTCGCGGTTGTGCTGCTTGCGAGCTGGCAGGCACGACGACGATGATAACGACGACGATGCAGTCATCGTGCTACTGAAAGGAACGCCACGGCGAGTCTCGGCCAATAATAGGTTCTCCCACCGAGATTTAAGAAACGAACCGAAAACCATACAGTCAACCCGTATCATAAGGATGCACGATAAGGCTGCAAAGGCCTTGGAGGGCCATCTCGAAGCTTCTGAAGACTGGCGCGGCCAACGAAAGTGGCCAACCATGGACCACAAGGGGCAAGTATGCAAGGGCACCCTTGGGAAGGATGCCCATCCATACTACGCGGGTTGGCTATGATTCCTCCTGAGCCCAATGCCAACGTGTTCCTTATTTCAGCGTCTTGACTGTAGAGAACACAGGGAAGGAAATAGGAAGTTTGCGGCAAGGCGATCCTATTCAGGCGGTTGACACGCGAGTTTTGCGACCTGCCTTCGGCTGCGAGGCGATGCTGACACTTGTGGTGCGGCCCTCGACACCGTCGGTGGCAATTGCATGCCTCGCGGCGATGTGGCACCCATGATCTATCGACAACGGCGTCGGGGGCAGTGTGATACAAGTCCACATTAACCCGCCCTCCGCCCCGTTCCTACCTCACCCTCTCCGCACCTCCTGCCTACCACCCCCTCGCAGACACGCATCCCGCAGCCCTTCCTCCCCGACAACAGCTTAAGGGGAACCCAGCACAGATAAAAAAAAACACTGGGAGTTTCCAGAAAAGTAATTATGCTTCTGCATTCTGACCCGGGGGCAGGTAATTAAGATTCGGGTTCGGGGGACTCGGGCTGCCCTTTCGGAACCATCATGAAAATGCCCGCAAGTGGTTTATCCGAGGCCAGCCGGATGATGTCCATGGGCAAAGAGCCTGCGCCGTGACAACATTGGGGCCAGACGCAAAGATAATCACATAAACCGAGTTCTTCTCTGCCACGGGACCCCACGGCCACGGCAAAGTTCTGCAACGAGAGACAGGGATGGGAAGGCGGGGGCTCGAGAACCGAAGGATACGGAAAGCAAGTTTCGGCCTCTCTTCTCCCCTTCTAAAGGCATTCAGCTTCAGTACAAAAGACCATGCCCACAGATGGTTTCCCCGAGGCCTGTCGGATTGTGCTCATGAGCAAAGAGCCTGCACCGTGACAACAGTGGAACCAGACGCAGAGATGATTACATGGGCCGGATTCTTCTCTGCCGCCAGGCCCCACGGCCAAAACATCCCGCACAAAACCAGAAGAGCAATTCCCCTGCACACGCTGGACGGAAAAAGTAGGTAACAACATGAAGTAGGAAGGCTGATCAAGTATATTTATTGGGCTCAGGACCTCCCAGAGAAAAACAAGCCACATAAAAAAAACGTATCGGTTCTTGAGGTAGGATGGCGCTTGAAGTAGATTGGGATCTGGGACGCCAGAAACCTATTTTCAACGACCGCCGTGTAGTCAGCAGCCTAGCCAGACGGGCGCCATCGAAAGCGCACTGGATTGCAAACGGACTTCGATGAACGCTTTCGCCCATCTGGTGGCGAGGGGTCTTGGGCAGGGCTGTGCCACTAGAGTCCACGGGGGCCCAGCCCGAAGCTCTCCGACTTATAAACTGGTGGAGCGTGCCAGCCTTGCTACAGAAATTGCAAAACAAAAACAATACACAGGCGAACCAACGCTGCGACATCTGCACGGAACCAGAGGAGACCTGTTAGGTATGTTATCCACAGCGTTCCGTCTTTGACCACCATAATTCGCAACACCCCGAGACACACGCGGCTGCATCCGAAGACGCAAAAGCGAGGGAATCAGCCAAAGCCTAGACATAGCAAGGTTATCTCCTGTGAAAGGTATCTGCAGGCGCCTACAACTGTTCCAGAGGTTCTCACAACTTCTGACAAGCATGTTCGCCAGCGTAAACTGAGCTCTGTCCAGAGGGTGCGTCACTGCCGCCAACACCCAGATCTCGCTGTCGGACCTCAGTGCGCTGGGCCAGGAGCCCGGTTCGCCGGGCGCGCGCGAAGGCCCGGCGCCCCTGATCCTGGTCCACGTCTGGCAGGGGATGCCAAAATGCAAGCCCAAGATCGGAACTGCATCCAGCCAGCCGCGCAGCCGCCGCGCCACCCGCGGGGCGGTCAGGTCCCACTCGGGGCCCCGGGCGACGCCCCACTCGATGACGAATAAGCTCTCCTGGCGCAGCGCGGCGGCCAGCGCGCCTGCGGCGGGGAAAAACCCACGCGAAGATGGGCGGCGCCAGGAATCGCCTGCGGCGTGGCCCGAGCAGCTTCCCCAGCGCCAGCTGGGAAGAGGGGGGCCAGCAGGGCCGCGCGCAGCGCGGCGGGCGCCAGCCTCTGCCATTGCTCGCTGACGCGCCCTGGTTCAAGTACCGGGCGACCGACGCGTCTGTCCCCCAGCGGCCGCGCAGCTTGACGCCGGCAAGCGCTCGCAACTTCATGGCCAGCTCCACCGACGGCCCTGAGTGCCTGAGCTGGAACAACTGCGGCGTCGGAGTCGCGACGCCGACGCCCTCCGCCGCCCGCTTGAACGGGGCGCTCGCCTGCGCGAGGGACAGCGGGAACAGCGGTGCGCACGGGTGAGCCGACGACTTCAGCCAGCGGAAGGCGGCGGGCAGGGCGCCGTAGAACGGCGCGTCGAACGAGAGATCTCGTCGTAGACCTGCGTCTTGCCTGGCACCGCCAGCTCGCGCGGATGGGGCGCCAGCGACCATCCGGGCGTCGGGGGGATCGGGTGCGCCCGCGACGCTCCGAGGGCCTCCGACAGCCCGAGATAGCCCACGAAGGTCACCAACACGTAGATCGAGGCACGCAGCTGGCCGATGTCCACCAGCCTCGCCGCGATCAGCGCCGCAATCTCCCACGGTAGCGGCGGCCCGGCGCGGGCGGGCACCCGCCCCCGCCAAGCCCGCAGGGCCTGCAGCGGCCGCGGCAGCCCGAGCTGCCCCACGCGAGAACTGCGGCACCATGAACTTGAGCGCGGCTAGCATGTCGGCTCCCCTCTCAGGCATCCAGTCCTCGGCGCACTACTGATCCATCCGCTGGACAGCAGGTCGTCGGCCGTCTCGGCCCGCGGCGGCGCGGTCGCGGTCGCCAGCCAGCCCGAGAACTCCTCCCACAGGCACAAGTACTTGGCCCTCATGGCCTCGGCAACCGAGAGAGCCCTCAGCACGCGGCCTGCTGAGGCCCGCAGGGCTGCCGCCTCGGGCGCCCGCGCCGCGGCCCACCCAGCGCGCCTGGCCGCCGCCCCCGCGCCTTCGCGCCGCGGCCAGTCGCCGCGCGCGCTGGGGGGCGCCGACGCTCCGCCTGAGAGGCGGGCGCCAGCGGCGCCAGCGGCGTCCCCAGCCGCGCCTTGGCCCGCGCCGCCGCCGCGCGCGGGGCCGGGCCCCTGCGCGACGACCAGACTGGCGGCGGCACCCCACAGGGGCCGAGCCCCAATCCGAAGGTCGCGGCGCGACGGCAGGTCGGCCGGGTTCGCCTCGGAGGGAGCCCAGCGCAGCGCCGCGCAGACGCCGCCCGCCATGACGAGGGCGGCCCAGTGACGGCAGACGCGGGCCATCCTCGGCCGCGAGGAGCAGCCCTTCAGGAGAGAGCCAGGATGGCGACGAGGCCGTCAGAGAGGAACAGAACATGAAGGCCACGCTGTTTCGAATTGCGAAGAACTTGCTTCAGCGCGCGGACGAATGCCCATCCCTCCAAAACTCGAACGTGCCCCCCCCCGCTCCCAGGCCCCACTGGAGATGACCACCCGCTCGCCCGAGACACACTCCACCTCCAGAGGCTCGAAGGAAGCGGGCTGCCGCCGCTGTCGAGGTTCACGAGGCGACCCGAGTGCGACGGGCTCAACGACGGCAGGCCGCCTTTCCTCTCGAGGTTTGACCGACGCGCTGCAGATCTCCACGTCGACGATGGGTTTCGTCGAAACCGGCGAGTTCGCAGAGGCCGAGGGTTTCGACGCAGGCCCGACATGGGGCTGACGACGGGCCCCAGGGGGGCGATGAGCTGCCCCCCCCGGGACCTCTAGCAGTAGGATATCGGAAACGCCAGCGCCACTGAACCCCCCGAGCTCCTGCGCCTCACCATTGCCAAAGTCGCGCTCGCACGCCCCTCGGCCCCGCTCGGAGGCGCCCGCGCGAAAAAACTCAGCCCGGCCACTCCGCGCGCAGGTCCGCCTGGGCCAGCGGCGCGACGCCCGCGGCCCGCTGCAGCCCCCAGCGCATGCTGGGCCACCGCTCGCCGGGCCCCCCCCCCCGCAATGGCGACGAAGCGGTAGACGGCCGAGAAGATCGACAGGAGCGGCCGCCCCAACCATGCAGAGGAACGGATCAGGCGCCAGGCTCTCCGAGGCGTCGGAGAGACAGCGCCCCTCGCGCCGTCGATCACCCAGCCCAGCAGCAGCGCGTGGAGGGCGGCGTCCTCCTCCTCGTGGACGAGGACACCGCTGTCGCTCAGCTCTGCGACCACGTCGCCCATCATCCGCTCGGCGGAGTCGCGATCCAGCGAGAGCGAGGCGATGTTGTCGACGTGCTCGAGGCGCGCCCCCGCCGCCGCGCCTGGGCAGGTCCGGCGATCCGCGATCCTCGCCGACGGCAGCAGCCCCGCCCGATCGGATGCCCAATCCGACACCCGCTAACAGACGGCCAGCGCATGGGCCCATCCCATGGGCAGCGCCGCGAGTCGCAGCCACAGCGGCCGAGACTGCCGCTGCCCGCGGCTGGTGCCACGCCCCAGCCTCCACGAGTCTATCGGCGGGGGCGCGAAGTAGGGGCGCCAAGCGAGCGGCGGCTCGGCTCCACGTCGCAGAAAGCGCCCGCGATGTCCGCCGAGGCGATCCACAGGTTGGCTCCGTCGGGCAGCTCGACCGCCGCCAGCGCCGCGCCCGCGGCCAGGCGCACTTCGGCGGGCGCGCCGACCCAGAGGTTGGCGGGCGGGCGGGGCGCCGACGGCGAGCCGCTGGCGCCCGCTCTTCTCGGGCGCGCTGAAGATGCTAACCTCGTCGATCACGTCGCTGGGTCGCCGACTAGATCGATGACTCTGGCGTCGAGCATGTGTGGAACTTGGGCTGCGTGCCGACGGCGGTCACGAGGACTAGGATGCACGTGAGACTTCTCGAAGCCGACATCCAGGGCCCGCTGCAAAACTTCGGCATCTGGCAAGACCTTGCTTGAAATAGCAGGATGGACGGAAACAAAAACAACGGGCTCCAGCGGCCGCCCCACCCCCGCGGGGCGGTTACCTGACGGCGGAAGCAAGCGCCGGGAAACGCCCATCGCCACCGGGCCGCCGTAAGATTGAGCAGCCTGGATCTCCCGCGGGGCCGCCGCAGGCTGAAACCCGCCCCGCGGGGGGCCCGGCTGCGAGACGGACTCGGCAACCCGCGCCAGGCCGCGCCGCTGCGCTGGGGTCGCGCAACCCTGCAGCCCCGAGCCGCCGGCGCCCCCAGCACCGCCGAGGCCGCGGAGCGACCCCACCGCCTGCCCGACGAGCCACGGCGCAGCGGCCGCCCGCCGCGCGCGTCTCCGCATGCTGCGCGAGCTCCCACCAGCCAGCCCGCCAGCGTCAGCAGCAGCGGGCACGGGCAAGGGGACGAGGTCCCGCCGCCGCTCCGCGCCCACGCCGCCGCGCCTGCCATTCGCATCCTCGACGCCGCAGGCGGCCGCCGGGGAAGGCCCAGTTCCCGCGGCGCCCAGAGGGTTGGGCCAGGAGACCCCCCCCCTGGCACGATGACAGCCTGACTTCCTGCCTCTGGCCTTGGCCCTGGAGGCGGCCTTCACTCCCCCCGCAACTTGCGGCGTCCTTCTCGAGCTGGATAACGCGCTCGAGCTCCATCCCAACTACGCCCAGCAGGGCGGGCAGACCATGCTGCCCGGGCGGCTGGAAACGCCCGCGCCGCCCATGAAGGCGCTGATCTCCTCCTGCGGCAACCTCTGCTGGGCCGAGTCCTGTCCCTCTGCTTCCCCCCCAGAATTGCTCGATCAGCTGCATCTCCCGGACCAACCGTTCCGCCCAGACGAGGTTCGCCACGTTGACTTCATCGATCGTCGCCAGATCCTCGAGCACCATGCTGAGGATGTAATGCTCTGATACCCCGTAGTCTGAGGTACTGAGCCGCTTGCGTGCCCACCTCGCGGCGCTGAATCGGTCTGCCCTCGCGAAGCAGTCAGGCCACGCACCAGGAAGCTGACCGCGGCATGAGCACGAACTGGGGGTCGGGCACTTCTCGCGCGGACTCGGTCGCTGAGAGGTAACTGCGCGGGGCACCGCTGCCGAGGACGCGAGCCAGAGTCCAAGCGTCGGACCCGCGCCACTTCGCGGTGAAGCCTCCCCGGCGCCAGTCCCTCAGCACGAGGGCCACGGCCGAGATGCCTCCCGCGAGCGTGACGAACGCACGCCTGCCAGCCCGCGCCGCCAGCACGATGCCCGTTATCGGCCCCACTCGCACGACCGAGCCTAAGGGGAGGGGGCCGACGTCCAGTGTGAGCACCAAGTCCCAGCCGGGCGGCGCCTCGCCGTTCGCCCCAAGCGGGGGGCCGCCGTCCTCCTTCCAGCCCGGGCCAAAAGGGCAGCCAACAAGGCGGGCGGCAGCGCGGCGAGGGGAGGCGGCCCACCGGCGGGTCCCGCGGCGGCCAGCGCAGCGCCTCGCGAGCGAGCGGCCTCGCGAGCGCGGCGGGCGCGGCCTCGCGAGCGGCCGATCGGGCGCGCCCGAACGTGTACGTGGCGCGGGGCGCGATCCAAAGCGGAGGAGGCCAGCGTGCCGCGGAAAAACGCACCACTGCATTGTCGGGCCTGCCGCCACCAGCCTCCCGGCGTAGACCATGACATCGGGCGTCACGATGATGACATCATCCGTGGCGCCAATTGGGCCACGACCCTCCTGTGGTGGAAGAGCGGCGCGCCGCCGACGTTATACAATACCCACGCCAAGGCTTCCGCAAGTGCCAGCCGCTGCCAGAGCCAGGCGCGCATGCGGCCCGCTCGGCGCCTCCGCCAGCAGCGCCCCGGCAGACGGCACCGGGCCCCGAGCCTCCGCCGAGAAGCGCAACGGCCCCAGACCCGCAGCGCGCCGATTGAGGCGCCAGCCACTCCCGCCGCCAGGCAAGCCAAGGTGACCGCGCCTGCGGTCGCGCCCACGGTAGCCCCAGGGCACGGCGGGCAGGCGGGACACGCGGGGCATGGCGGCACCTCGGTGGCGGGGCAGCGAGCCACCAAAGCCTGCATCGCCGGGGCGCCCCAGCTATCCAGCGCCCTGAGCAAGCCCTCCGAGAGGCCCAACCACGCCATAAAAGCTCGAGAGCCGAGGGCTACGGAAAGCAAGTTTCGGCCTCTCCTCCCCCCTCTAAAGGCATTCCACTTCAATAGAAAAAGACCACGGCGAGGCCCAGTCCGAAATTTGACGCGAGCTCCCTCTGCAAACATTTCACGAAAACAGGACCGTCAAAAGCCAGGACGCGATTGTCAAAAGAAGCGTCGGTAAACCCGAGTGCCGGCGTACTCGAGTCTTACGCTTCCCCGATGTTTGTTCTCCGATGGACGCCCCCGACGTCTGCAACACTGGCTCCTCGCCACGGTTGGGGATCTGCTGACCCAGACCCGGGTCAGTCAGGCTTTGCAAGATCCTGGAAGGTCCTGCAGGATGCTGCAGGACCCTGCACCCAACCCCGGGTCAGTGCGCCCCTGGCTCTGCAGGATCCTGCAAGAGCCAGCGCTCTGACTGACCCCGTTTGTAGAGACCTCCTATAAGGGGTGGGAGTAGATGGGGTCGGAGGATCTCGCCGCACCGCCGATACATGGGCGATGTATCGGCGATGCACCAGCGATGCTCGACGTCGCGTCGCCGATGTATCGGCGATGCTGCGTGTTCCTCCGACCCCATCTACTCGGACCCCATCTAGGAGGCCGAGAGTCTGCACCGACCTCCGCCTCTTGAGCCCCGACACGGGCCGCCTCCCCGTGGCCCTTCTGGGTGCCCGAGAGGCCGAGGGGCCCGTCAGGAGGCCGAGGGGCGAGGGCCCTGCCGCGGGCCGAAGGCGCGGGGCCCCAGGCCCGGGGCCGCCAATGACGACGACGACGACGACGACGAATACGACGACGACGACGATAACGATGACGGCGGCGGCGGCGGCGACGGCGACGACAGCGACGGGGGACGACGCCGACCACGACGACAACCATGGCGATGACCACCACGACGACGACGACGAAGACGACGGCGACGGCCACGGCCACAGCCACGGCGACGGCGACGACGGCAACGACGCCGACCACGATGACGACGACAACGACGACCACCACGACAACGACGACGACGAAGACGACGGCGGCGACGGCGACAGCAACGACGGCGGCGGCGACGGCAGCCACGACATCGATGACATTGACGACAGCTGCGACGACCACGACCACGACCACGACCACGACCACCACAGCCACGACCACGACGACGACGACAGCGACGACAGCTGCGACGACCACGACCACGACCACGACCACTACCTTGACGACGACGACCACGACGACGACGAC